ATGGTGCTCTTTTAATAAAATAAATTTATTTTAAGTATCGATGGACATTATTCCTATAAATTAACCCTACTTTAAACACCCCTTAAAATATCACGGTGTTTATTGCTTTAACGCACCCAATATTATTTTTTATAAATAATTTCTTCGAACTTTTGCAACCTAATATTACTTGGCATTCACTCAATAAACAAATTAATTAATTAATAAGTATGATTTTCAATATAATTATATAATAATATACACCCACTATTCATTGTCGCTTAAAAAAATCAATTCTAATAAATAAATAAATAAATAAATAAAACTACCCACTTTCATATTTTCTTTTAATTTTTTAATTTGCTAGATTCCAACTACGGACAAATATCAATATCTTAATTAATAAAATAATTATTATTACAAATAAATAATATTTTATCAAAAAATTTCCTTTTTCATTATTTTAATAATCTTAAATTCAGACAGATTTAAGAAGAAAGTTAGGAATGCTAATTTATCAAAAACTCAACAAATCTCTTATCATTTTCTGAAAATTAAAAGAAAAAAACTTTTTTTTCCTTGAAATTTTCTTTATCTTCCAAAATAATATTTTTTTTTTGAAAAATCTTTGCCTGGTTTTGAACTTTGAAGGTGTAATGTTTTTAGTTTAATTTTGTTGATTTTTTCCTGGGAAAATTTGAACCTTGTTTTAGCTGGTTGAGCTTACAATCCAAATGAGATTTTGATAAAATTTTGAGGGGGAAATAGATAATATTTCTGGAAATTAGAGCTTGAAGTTTTGACTATGGAGCCAAAAGAATTCGAAACAACTGCTGCTGCTGCTGCTGCTGCTACTGCTGGAGTTACAGTGGTAGGATCCGATGCTCCATCGGCTTACCACATAGCTCCGAGGACCGAAAACTCGACCCAAAATCCGAACCCGGCTCCGGGATCCGCCCCACCGCAGCAGCAGGCGGCGCAACCAGGAGTGCCTCCGCCGGTTTTGGTGGCGGGGATGCCGGAGAAGAAGAAGAGGGGAAGGCCTAGAAAATACGGTCTGGACGGTTCAATCACTAAGGCGCTCTCTCCTAAGCCTATATCGACAGCTGCGCCGCCGCCTTCGGTCATCGACTTCTCAGCCGGGAAGAGAGGGAAAGTGAAGTCTCCGACGTCGTTTTCGAAGCCTAGGAACGAGCCGGAGAATTTAGGTGAGAAACCCATTCGTTTTGTGCTGTTTTTAAAGTGCGTCTTTGGTGCGTGTAGGCGTAGAAGGGTCGAAGTGGGGTCGAGAGATCCCTTCGATAAGTGTGTGTGCGGGGTTAGGTTTTCTTGATATATGATCCACTCATTAGAATCGAATACGTCGGTGTTTATTTTAGGTGATCTTTCTATTGAACTTTTTCAGATTTAATTCACGACTTTACTCAAGAATCTAGTGTCCCATCCGAGGAATCTTATCGATATCGAGTGTCCGTCCGTCGCCACTTGGCAATCGTTTAGGGGGAGAATATATCGTGTAAGGTCCCCTGCTTCGAACACCATTTGTTCGAGTCTCCCAAGTGATTTTGATCATCCCATCAGATGCAGGAGAAGGAAGTAGATTTTTATAGTTGACTCTTCGATTTTCTTGAAATATCCCTATTCGACATAGACATACGTGTGAATATTAGTTCTTGTTGTTCGTTTCTTGGAATAACTGTGTGATACTTTATAGTTTGTCCTCCAGTGACTTCAGTTTTAAGTCGAATAGATCGAGTGCCATGCGGTTTACATTAACGAACGAAGCTACTCCTAGGCGTCGTAGTACATTGTTTTCAAGTATATCGAACTATAGCATGATAATTTTCATTAATTTTCCCGGATGATCATTGTTGTCTCGCTGGATTTGAGCTATATATTATGCTCTGATTAGAATTTACGGATGAGTAGCTCGTTATAGTTTCTTGGAAAATTTCGTATACATTCTGCTATTCTCTGTGTGGTAAGATCTCTAGCAATCGGTTGCTGAATTTTTTTTACAACTTTTTTCTCATTGTAGGTGAATGGGTTGCATGCTCCGTCGGGGCTAATTTCACGCCGCATATCATCAATGTTAATGCTGGTGAGGTATGTTGTAAAAGATAGCATCGAGCTTGCATGATGTTGTATTCGTTATGCATGCAAAAGCTCCATATTTTCTTGCTGGAAAATATGGTTTGAGAGTGTTGCTGGTTCCATTCTGATGTCTGTTTGGTATTTTAGGACGTCACGATGAAGATTATATCATTCTCCCAACAAGGGCCTCGAGCTATATGTATCCTCTCTGCAAATGGGGTCATCTCGAGTGTCACTCTTCGACAACCCGATTCTTCTGGGGGTACATTGACATATGAGGTAATACACTCTTTCCCTTTAATTCTAGACACCTTTGAACTATATCTGTCCTAGCATGAATATTCATTCTATGAATGTGCTCATTCGCTTCTAAAGCTCGTCTCTCGTGATGTCAAATTTGTTTTATGTTTTAATCTTAACACCTCAAAGAATGAATGACGAACTTCTCGTGTTTCTGAAATTTCACTTAATCAACACTTGTTATCTTATCCTTCACTGGCAAACATCAGATCTCTTCTCAAATTTCTTGCAGGGTCGTTTTGAGATATTGTCCTTGTCTGGTTCGTTCATGCCCAATGAAAGCGGGGCAACAAGAAGCAGATCCGGTGGGATGAGTGTTTCATTAGCAAGTCCGGATGGACGTGTAGTAGGTGGTGGAGTCGCTGGTCTCCTAGTAGCAGCTGGCCCTGTGCAGGTTCGGCATCGGTTTGCCAGTTCTTCTCTTTTCTATCTCTTCCAGATTTTCGTAACTTTGCTTTAACCGAACAATTACCACAACCCTGTTGAAGGCAACTTCTAAATTTTTACTTTCTGTTGCTCCGAACCAGGTTGTAGTGGGAAGTTTTCTGGCCGGGAACCAGCACGAACAGAATCTGAAGAAACAGAAGCCACTGTCGATGACCATATCAGCCGCAACGCCAATGTCTATTATTCCCATTTCCAGTGCCGACCCCAAATTAAACATATCCTCATCCTTCCGCACTGATACTTGGTCACCGACCGATTCAAAGAACAAGCCCACCGACGTAAATGCATCAGTGCATGGAGCCTAATCTAAACATTCCAAGGTTTGATATCGAAAGCACCGTCGGATATCGTTCTCACCGTAGTTGTTGCCATTGTTGTTGTTTTATGTGTAAGCTTATCGACTTCTCACAAGTACCGGCATGTTCATGTCCGGCTCGGGTTTTTACCCCGTTTACTTTCACCATTAGTTAGTCATTTGAGTGTAGAATATGTTGATTGTAATGTTTAGTGAGAGAATTGGCCTTTCTTACCAACTTATGGATTGTGATTTAGAAAAACCAGTGTATTCTGAACATCTCAAATTCATCTAATTTACGAAGCTTCAGCTTACTAGTTCAGATGAATGATTAAAAGTCCGAGTCGAATCGGCTTATTTATCTGACCGGTGGCCCTACATGATCGAAACGGCATCGGATCTAGATTGAAGACGGCAGCATTCTCGACCCGAGCAGGGGCATTTGATTTTTGGCAAGGAAGCCACAACGGGGAACTTTTTTATTCTTTTTAATGTCTAAATTTGAAAGTTTTTCTCAACTTGATCCCTAGACATGCATGTTATTAAATACTCAAAATGTATGATGAAATCTAAATTCAAGGATCGATTTGGGAAACTTTTCCACATTAATATGGCTCAAAGGGACCAAATTGAAAAAATTTATCAAATTTGAGGTAAAATTAAAAATATTTAAGTTCAAGGATTAAATGTAAAACTTTGGCTTTATACGGAAGACCCCCACACGTGGCAGAATCTCTGTGTTACAAATTAGGCGGTCTCATCATCCCATAAAATAGACACCTGAAAATACCCCCAAACTTTCATTTCCATCAAAACCGAAGCAATTAGGGTTTCAATCGTCCCAAATTTGATTTAATTTCCTCTATATATCCAAGGTTCTCTCAGTCGTTCTCCATTTTCAGGCTTCAATTGGGTGTGTTTCGATCCGTTCATTGATTACTTCTTATTTTTTGCGGTTGTTTGGTACAGAATTGTTCCTTTATAAAGTCATTCGAGATGATCCTCCAACATTTAGGTTTTAGGGTATAGATTGATTTTTTCTACTGAAATGTTATACAGTCGCGGTGGATTTTTTTGGGTATTTTCTTTAAATATATGTGAAGTTCAATAATTTGGACTGAATTGCTTGTGTTGCACTATTTGGTTATCGTTTGCATGATTTATGTTATGTTATCTCAGTAATTTGAAAGCTTGTGTTCTTTCTTTGAAATTCATATTTATTTTTCCTTTTCCAGAGTTTAGAGGGTTCCAGAAAATGCAAGGAGGCAGAGGTGGAAGAGATCCTTTCTTTAATTTTGGTGGTGACCCCTTTGGTGGCTTTGGGGGCTTTGGTGGTCCAAGAAGTTTACTCTCCAACTTCTTTGGTGGAAGGGACCCATTCGATGACCCTTTTTTCACTCGCCCTTTCGGAGGCATGTTCGAGTCAAGCTTATTTGGCCCCGGCCGAAGTCCTTTTATGGATATGCATCCAACTGGGTTTATTGAGCATCAGGCTCCCGAGCCGAAGAGACCAAGGGGTCCAATTATTGAAGAACTAAACTCTGATGATGAGAAGGAGGAAGCAGATGGTGGAATGAAAGGAAATCCAAGGAAGCATGGTCGGTCGGAAGCCGAACCTTATGTTGAGGTTCCAGATGATGAAGCGGAACAATCTGTAAGAAGGAACCGGCATTTGCAGTCCATGAATGCTTACAATAGTTCATATCATAGACAACAGCAACAGCCTCAAACTCATAGCTTCACATTTCAAAGCTCTACTGTCACTTATGGTGGTGCTAATGGAGCTTACTATACTTCATCCAAAACAAGGAGGACTGGAAGTGATGGAGTAAGTTTTTCTGAAGTTTAAAGAATGTTCGTTTGTAAACCCTTTTCTGAGTCTTACATTTTTCTCTTCCGGAATAGATTACCTTTGAAGAAAGCAAACAAGCTGACACAGCCTCAGGTCAAGCAAGCCACCGGGTTTCTAGGGGACTTCACGACAAGGTATCTTGCAACATCCTTTTGTTTCTCTGAACAATCTAAATTTTGGGTCTTTTGTACCTTGGATTATGATTAGAACATTTTTGTAGGGTCATTGTGTCATGAGAAAGCTGAATTCAGATGGTAGGGTGGATACAATGCAAACCTTGCATAATTTGAGTGAAGGCAAGTTAGTGTTGTATACAACAAAGTGATGTGGTATATTTGTTGATAGAAGTAGATTAACTGGTCCAATGGCAGATTAAAGGAAAATGTTCTGAATTTGTGAATTTTGCAGATGAGCTTACTGGTTTTGAAGAATCTTGGAATGGAAAAGCCCAAAAGCATTTGCCTGGCTGGTCTGGGAGTTTTATTGGCCATGATACCATAGGTAATATATGTCTTACTACAATGTCTTTCCCTTGTAATTTTGCTTCACTTAATAAGGAAAAAAAGGCAATTTTGTTCATTCAGTTTTTTTGATTATCTCAGTTTTTCATTTTACAGATATATAGTTGGTGTGACGGCCTGAATAACGTTGAGGCAATGCTTTTTTACATCCTATAACCTCGAATCATATATTTTGCTGCAATTTTTGTCTCAGGAGCTAACAGCAGTGGACAGAACAGGCAGGCAGGTCAGAAAGGATGGGCACTTCCCTCTACTGAGTCAAAAGGGAGGGTGATGCTGGATGCAAGAGATGGGGGAGGGCCCTCACGCAGCCAGCACTCTGCAAGGATGAAAGAATCAACAGACTTTAAAGATGAAAGTTCCCGCACTCAAGGGAAGCGAAGGGCCTAAGTCGGATCACACCGACTCGATCCTGTGGTAGAGGGCATTGCCTTTTCTCTTATAGATAGTTTGGTAATCTTGGTCGTTGCCATCTTTTAGAGCTTATGTTTTCCTTTAGTTTTAAGCTCATCGGTCATGAATTATATGATGAGTCTGTGGCTGTCCTGTAGCTGAAGGGGTAACTTATGCAGAGAGCTTTAGACAATTACTACTAAAACATGTTGTTACGGTATAATCTCGATTCTCCGGATTAAACATTGCAATTTGACATAAGCAAATGCTTTGCTTCACTTTCTACTGAATTTTATTGTTGTGGCAATGTTATTTTGTGTTTGGCTTCACTTTCGACTACACTTTGTGTTTGATGCTCACATTGAAGTGTGAAATGTGAAAGTCGATACTGTCACGTCAAAGATTAAAGTAACAAAAAGAAAAAATTAAAGTAACATTTTTAAAAGAACAAAAACTAAATGAATATAATTTTAGATAGGAAGAGTTGAATTTATTGACTTGTTTTGAATTAAGATTAAATTGATTTGATACCGTTAAAGTAGATTTTAAATTCGAGTTATTTTTTTATTAAAAAAGTTTTCGTTGAAATGATATCGTTTCAGATTAGTCAAAACGAAATTTTGGAATCGAGGCAAACCCATTGAACGGAACATTGGCTGCGAACGACTTTATATGGCAATATGGGTGTCACCAGCTATGTCCTTATGGCGCGGCGTCGTGTCCAAGAGCGGAGTTTATGATATTCCTAAAATTCATGTCTTTTTATTGTCCGCTTGAAAAGTATGTTTAGTTTTTCAACAGAGGCGGGTTAAACGAGAAGCTGCAGTTTTAGTCTGAAATGCTCAATTCTTTTGCTGTATTTTCTTGTAAAATCCGTGCTTTTACTCTCGTCTTCACAGAACATGCATAAGTGATAAATTTCCTCTACCAAATCCCATTGAAAAAAAAAAACTCTTCTTTTTTACTGTATTTTTTAAGCATTTTACCGGCGAGCTTCATTGATGGAGAGACAAAGAAGTTTCTTCTCCACATCCACTAGATTCTTAGCGTTTGCTTTCACCATATCTTCTTCTTTAATCTTCCTTGTTTCCTTGTTTACTTGGGTCCTCAAATCCAACCCTTCAATTCATCAGGATATCCATTTTTAGTTCAATAATTCAGTTTTCAATTCGGGTGGCCATAAACCCATAACCGTAGAGAGCTCGAGTAGTTTCAGTAGCAACAGGTCAGCAGAAAGCTCAAAGCATTCAATACTAAAAGTTACCCATTTTTTGAGATCAGGAAATGAATCTGGGTCTGGAAATTTCTCAGTTTTTAAGCAGATCCATGTACAAGAAAACGAGGGTGAAGTGCTAGAAGATGGTGATAGTGAAACTGAACCAGAGGAAACAACTGAAGGAGGTGAAGTGAGAGAAAAATCCAGTTGACAAATTTAGGCTCCCAAGCAGTAAATAAGTGACTTCTGTTGATAAATTTAAAGGTCCTCCGAGTAATGGGGAATTGAGGAGAAGGTGATGAATGGCTGTGATTTAACAAAGGGGAATTGGGTTTACGATGACAGGTATCCACTCTACACAAATGGATCCTGTCCTTTCATTGATGAAGGTTTTAGCTGTGACTTCAAGGGAAGATGAGATGAGAATTACAAGAAGAAGAACTTGTCACGTCATAGAGTCAAAGAGATAACATGTAACGTCTGTAAAAATTAACGGAGTTAATGATATAAATTAAAAGTTCTATATTATAAGTTTTAAAAGTTGAGTAACTAAAATGAAAGCATCTTATAAGTTTAGAAACTATTTATATATTTTACCTTATTATTATATTTTAACTTGTAATAATATTTTTAATATTTTAATTGAATGAATAATTTTTAATTAAAAAAACAACTTTTTTAACCAAACTAATAATTGTGTGACCTTGGCTGTATGTATTTTACCCAAATTCTCAACTTGCATGCTTCATATGTTCTTCAGATGCTGCACTATTTACAAAGCGAGAGTTGAACAAGATTTGATCTCTGAGATGTAATAATAAAGGAACTCTGAAGTAATGAAACAGGTACAACATTGTCAAAGGAAAACTAGGGTTGTTTGCAACAATGTTTGTATATGAACAAACAACGAAAAGAAACTGCTAATGTATGCTCTATTTACATCAGTCGTATGAATTTCCAAGCATTATTAGAAGAAATGTACAATGAACCCACACAAAGGGGAAGCAAAGAGGCAATAAATAACTCCCAAGTCGACTGAAGCAGGATTTGAGTGGCTGCATCGTGTCGATTCATCAACATTGCCGAATGTCTCAAAACAACCGAGTTTTCGTGATGAGTTCCGGCATTGTTGAGTAGCTGATCATCTAGGCCATGAAATTCTGAGCTTTCTGGAGCCTAAGGAGATGATTGGCTTTCTTCAGTTACTTTCAGGGTTGCCCCGTTATCTTTCGGGCCGTCTTCATCATCCTTCTCATCATTTTCTTTGCTGTGGCTCCCACCAGTGTCGTCTTTCGGGATACTTTGGACCAACTCCGGGTGAGCTTCTAATCCAACCCGTCTTAGGTGCAGCTGCCATGATTCAGACACCAGATGAAATAACAGTCTTCTCGATATAACAACTGTACAATCATGTGAGTTAAGCCCTTTAATATATAATCAACTTCATGTACCTGAAGATGCAGATTTACTTCATCCGGACGGGAAAGAAAGGGGAAATCACCTCCTGTTTTCAGATAAGCTCGCCTTGAACCCGGGTACCTCTCACCCAGCTGATCTTTGAGTTCTTGAGGAATTGATGAGTAGTCGTTCGTCTGGGCCATGTCAAAAACCATGTCAAGAAAATTTGGCATTTTAAACAACAAAATAACTAAAAGATATCTAAACATAGGAAAAAACGAACAAAAACTTTTTTAGTCATAAATAATAGAATCAACAACCTATGAAGATAAACCATCTTCTCTATGTTTTCTTGTGCAGCTAGGCAAAGAAACCTTGTTTCAGAGAAAAAGAACGAATACTTAGATATGTTTTGTGTGCAAAGCCTATACAAAGCAATTTTCAGACAACTTACATCCATTATAGTAATTAACGAATCTGAAAGTAGAAGTGGTTTAACTGAAGCATTGTCAACCGTCAAAGTCAACCTGGATGCCAAGTCATCTCTTGAGAGTGCTTCAACCTGAAATGATTCACATATGATCTAAGATAAAGAGAGCAAACACTTTCCTACAGCAGATTGTTATGCATTTGAAAGAGCAAGATATAGAGTGCTTCATACAAAATGATAATAACTAAAATCCAATAAAGAAAAATGGTGTGGGTGTTTCATGAAATTTACCTGTGAAACAACAAAGTCCACAGAATCAGCAATAAAAGGTTCATGAGGGCCATCACGGATTCCTGTTAGGATGTATCGTTTCAACAAAAAAGAGGGGGCCCAACCAACGCTGCATGTGGTAAGTTCATCTTAAGAACACTTTCATATTTACACGAAATACGTAATATTAACAAAGATTATGCAAGGATAAAAGCCAAGAAACAATTTCAGGAACTACATAAAAAGGTAGTGTTTTAAAGATTTTGATTAAATTTGACAACTATGCATAGCAATATATGTGAAAGCAGAGCGAATATACTCTTTCTTTCATCCAAAAAATGCAAGCATACAAGCTAGTTGATAATTTACAGGGAATTGGCTCATTGCAAGGAAATTTTGATCAACACGATTCTACCCAAAAACTGCATGCATGTGGTTATTTGATTTCAAAATTTGAGTGAATTTACAGCCCACTACAACGGAAATCTTAAGTAAATGAGCTTCTAATATGTATAATCCAATAAATGAAGCTAGTTTATAATAACCTAGAGATTTTAACAAGAAATGTAAAACATACATAGGTGCCCAAGGCATTGCTGCTGCAAAAGTGCGTGTCTCCAAAAATGTATTCGATAGAATTAAGGATTTAACACGTCTAGGACGATGTTGAGCAAAAAGTTGTGCTAGGAAGCCTCCGAGGGATGTCCCATACATATGTATCTGTCAAAGACATGACACTCAGTCTGTTAAGCAAGTCTTAAATTCAAGATAAACTACTGCTACAATAACCATAAAAAAAGAGCCAGCGAAGTAGAATAAGATCTATCCATTGTAGAACCCCGTAGTTACTTAATATTACAGAAATAGAATAAATGTTGTTTCACTTCAAGCAGGCAACCTATTCTTTGTTCCAGAAACATAAAATAGGAACAATAAATATGAAATATCCAATGAAATGGCAAATAAATGATACAATAGGGAAGGAATGAAGCATGGGCCTCAAAACATATTCTCACATGATGAACATCGATGGCATCCAAGAACTTTTCAAAACTTTGAATCCACTCTTGATGATTCCAAACACAGGGAATGTCAACGGAAATCACCCGGTAACCCTGAACATTTGGAAAATTTTAAATTATTAGGCTTAATGAGAAGTGAACACTCTTCACAACAGTCTAATAGTAAATACCATTTGATAATAAGCCACACAAAAAAATGAAATTCCACCAACCAATAAATGAAATGGGGAAGTTTAAGGCTGCCTCAGTGTAAAAGAAATCAGGAACTCTACTTATTAAAATGATAAGATTCATAACTTGCTATTAGATAACGTTGTGAAAACAAATATAAATATCCACTATATCAAGCAATAAGGGGAAAAATATAGCTTGTAGAAGCTTCCTTCCATTTGTCTTGTAGTTTTGGAGAGATGAAACGGCCTCTTTCTGCTCCCAGAGGACTTCTTCCAAGAACTATAACAAGAATAAAAGGGGAGGGGGAAGTATTCACTTGTAAAAGATACTTATAATAGATAGTTAACAACCTTCATGGACAACGACATGATCTGTTTGTAGTAGACATCTGCTGTCCCTGCAGTACCAGGGAGACATATGAGTGGAGGAACCACTTTGGGACCAAAATCATAATATCGCCACTGCTTGGTGCCAATCTGTGGGAGAAATAAGGTACCCCAAAAATGAGATTCATCACAATTGATAAAAAGTAATAGTAGAGAGATTCTCTCTGTGTCTATCTTCAATACACATGCTAAGCAATGTGATAAACAACAAGGTTTGATCAACTATCCAGTATCCAGGACTTGGAGTCAATGAAGTGATAATGGATAATAAAACTTATCAGAAATCAGAATGTACCTACATGAAGAACAGTATTTTGCGAATAACAATTCAGGCAACAATTGATTCCACAAACGATGATTTTGAAGCTAATGAGTTCACAATCATAAGCTTAAAAGTTTAGAAATAACGAAAGGCACGGAGAAAAATCAGACAACAACCAACTGGTTAATAACTTTTCAAGCATGGGAAACCTCAATGATATAGAAAAGTCGACTAGAAAAAGCCACCAAATAAGAATTCAATAATAAACATAAGTGAAAACCGATCCTTCAGAATTCAGATATCAAGGTGGAATCCAATACAGAACTTTTCCAATTGAAGAGATATTTAAGCTCATGTGGATGGCTAACTTACTGAAAAAGGGATCAACATATGAAACAAATTCACACCCGACATAATATTGTAAACTATGAAAAAAATAAAGCATTGAATTAAGCAAATCCAATCCCAGAACAAAGTTTTGCACTTATGCGATCAGAGTTCTCACCAAAAAAATCACACAGTAATAGACCTTGGCTAAAACAAAAGCAAACCCAATATCAAAATAAAGTTAAACCCTAAAACCCATAATCAAAAATCTTATAAAAACAACAAAAACAATATATATATTGGGGGGGGGGGGGGAACTTACGGGGATCTTGTGAAGAGGGACTTGGGACTTGAAGTAGACGTAATCTCCGGGCGCCGAGAAGACGCTTTTCATTGCTGAAATCCACTCACTCTACATTCATTCCATTCGGTGCTTTATATCAACAAAATCGATCGACGATCTCTCAGGTTTTTATCTGTTTTTTTTCCATTTATTTTAATTTTAAGTTTCAATTTTAAATTTGACGAGTAGATGAGAGAAACAACGTGGCTGTGCGTTAACGATCAATTAACGGAAACGTTTCCCATCTTATTAGGGCTGAGCAACGAAATCGAGAAAATTGAAAAACTGACATGAATCGAGTAAAACGGTTTGGTTTGGCTTTAAACGGTTCAGTTTTCAGTTCGGTTTAAAGGCTTCATTTTTTTGATTCGATTCAGTTCGGGTTTTCCATATGGAACCCATTTGTTCCATATGGAACCCATTTGTTCCATATTGAACCGAATATGCAATTTTTGTAAAAAAAAAAATATAGTTTCAAGTGATTTTTTTATTGAAAAACCGAAAAACCGAACCGAACCGAACCGAACCGAAAAATTCGAACAATTAAAAAAACCGAACCGAACCGAAAAAATCGATTTCGATTTTTTCGGGTTTTTAACTATTCGGTTTCGCTTTAAATATTGAAAACCCATTTATTTCGGTTTGGTTCAATTTTTGGTAAAAAACCGAACCGAACCGAACCGAACCGAATACACCCCTACATCTTATTGCTCAGCGTTATCTCAAAGGGGTGCATATTGTAATTTTCGTGCACCGTGCATTTTAGAGCCCGTTTGGATCAATTATTTTAGGATTCTTGGTAGGTATATTTTTTTTCTGACTAAGGATATTCATGTTTAATTAAGTATTCATTCTCAAATGAGGGTAATATTTCTTTCTTAAGTGTGTTTATTCTTGGGAATGTTATTCCTACACATCCATTAGGTCTTCATTTATTACCGTGTTAAGGGCTAAAATACTATTCTTTTCCTCTGCAATGTCTTCTTCTCTCTAGTGAAAGCTTGCCTCCCTCTGCGAACAATTCATCGTTCTCCTAGTAAGATTTCTTCTTCTCTCCCTTTCTTCTCCTCTCCCTTTCTTTACAATGTTTTACTTGTTTAATTTTTTCAGGGTTTCAAGCACCTAATTTTTCTTTTCACTATTTCCTGGGTTTTGATATTGACTTGTTTGAGTTCGTTCTCCAATCGCACTAAGTTTTTTTTAACTGAAATTCGATCTTATGATTTTTCTTGAATGTATTATTTTAACGATTTTAGTAGGATAGTGAACTCTATGCTTGATTTTTCTGTTTGATTACTGAGAAACCGTGGAAAACGTGAAGAGACGGTCGATTAGCTCAACTGAACTGACCTGAATAGTAGTGCATTTTTTCCATTCATTTATTTTATAATTTTTGAAAACTTAGTTGTTGGAAACGAATTTTATAGCTCCACGGAGAATATCAGATATGTAGTTGTCTTTCCTTTTTTCCACATTTCCTCTTCAATGAAATACGGAAGATTAGTTTGTTTAAGATGATACTGAATCAATTACACTGACTATTTCTGTTTTTTCTTTTGCTCTCGTCTTTTGGCCTAAAATTTTTTGCATTATCATGGCTGATGCGAATTCGATTTTGTTTTATTGATGTTATTTGGATTGTTTGTCAAGGATTGTAGTCTTTTCTTACTTTGCAAAATTTCCTTAATTTGAATATTGTGAAATGGTTTCAAGGCCCAAAGTTTTTTAATTAATTTCTTATGGTTTTCCCTGCTTTTAAAACTTCATAAATAGTATGACATGCTACATTGTTTACGGAGAACAGTTTATTTGGAGTTGTAATATTTTTAACATCAATCTTGTTTACGAACTTCACTTTTTTAATTTGTCTAAATGAAATATGTATCTTCTGTAGGTCCATTTAGTTGTTTTAGCAGATAATAAATTGATCTTTATTTTCGTGGTTTGTAGAAGCAACATATTGGATTCTGTTGTCTCTATTTTTGCGCATATGTGTATGTGCTTCCCCATATCAGTACATTATGGCGTACTGGTTTAGGAACTTAGAGTATAAATGTATTGATTATAGGTCAATGATGCTCCGCTAAATGTTAATTGGTTCGAAATATTAGTAATTACATATCATTAATGATGGAATATTTGGAAATATTCTTCCATTTTATCGTCTACTGTCTTTTTAATCGAAATTTAAAATCAAATTTGGTATCTGGTTGCATTACATGTCTGTCTTCTATAAACTGGAAATTATAATGTGTATCTGGTTGCAATCTTCTATCAACGGATCAGCAACAAATCTTCCAGACAGTAGTGGACGTTCTTTTGCAACATCTTTCTCTGGTCAGTCTGGTGCAGTCTCTCTTGTTTTCCATCATGCTGGTGGGTATATTTTACTGGATTTCCACACAACTAAGTTCTTTGAAACTCATGCAATTGTATTGTTTGTTTTGCAGGCAATATTCGGGGCTTGCATAATATTCATGGTAGCTTTAATGTTCCCAACATGCCTGGTACACTCGCATCAAGAAACTCAACATTAAGTAATGTTCCAACTGTTGGGGTTCAATAACCTACTGGGAGCTTTTTTGGTGGAAGATTTGCATCAAATAATCTTTATGTTTATCTTTCTCATGTGCCTATAATATTCCTATCATACTGTGATTTGACTTCCTATGATTGCTGCAGCAGAAGTTATTTATGTTTCCTTCACCCTTCATGCATGTCTTTGGGACTAAAACAAATAAAAAATGAAAATCAATAGGAAGGAATAGAATCTTACATTCTTGTAACATGTACTTCATTTTCTTATGAATGCCATTTTACAGTTATCTCATGGCAGCTCCCACGGACATTCAGGAGTAACAAATAAGGGAGGTATTAGTGTTGTAGGAAACCCTGGATTTAATAGTAACATAAATGGATTTTTCTGCTTGAAATGACTCTAGACAGTTTAATTGTTTGGAGCTAAGGCTTACTTTAACAACGAGTTAAATTGGAGATGCCAATCAATGTGATAGCCTCCTACTTGTAGATTTTTGCTTGGCTGTGTGTTACCAATGTGATTTTTGAAAGCCTTTACGTGTAGATTTCTTCTTGGCTGTGTTTATAGTTAAATGGGAGTCTATCTGGCTCTGTTTTTAAAAGGTTGTATTATTTTTTCGGTTATGTTTGGTAGAGAAATCGGTCGATGGGAAAGAAAAAACATGGTGATGATGCTTCAATACCGATCAAAATTGGTTCTTCGCATCCTGGTATTCCATTATTTACTTCTTCTATTCTCCCCCACCCCTTTCCTTTCCTTTGTTTCTGTTGTTCATTGATTTATCAGTCAAAGACATGTTTGGTTGGTTCTTTTTTATTATTTGATTTTTGTTTTGAAAATACTGAAAACAAATTATGTGTGTGATTATGAAGCTATATTTGGAAGAATTATGCACCAAATATGCAACTTTTCATTGAAAATATGAACTGCAATCAGAGACCCTTGATCTTTTCAGGTGCCACAACAAAGAAATGGTAAAGAATGTGGGAACTTTGTTCTCTATTTCATAAAGTAATTTGTCGAAAGCGCCCCGGATAACTTTAGCATTGAAGGCTACCCTTACTTTGTACATTCCTCGTTTAGTTTAAAAAGTGTATTTTTTCGATTGTGGATTATAAGTATGATGATGAGGTACGAATTGCCTATTTTACTTTGCAGATGAAAAAGGACTGGTTCAGTGCTGAAGAAATAGAACGCTTTTGTGAGAGGCTCGATTCTCCGGCATGTGATTTTCATTAACTTTAGAAATGACATTTTTTATGAGCCTTTTTTTATATGATCGATTAGCTTAGATGTGAGTGTCGATCAGCATCTATGAACTCTTTGTACGAATCTCGTTCCATTTATGAAGCATATTTTTCAAATGTGGATTATAAGTACTAATTGCCTATTTTACATTGTTGATGAAAAAGAACTGGTTCAATGCTGAAGTAGTGGAACGCTTTTGCGAGAGGCTTGATTCCTTTGCAAGTGATTTACGTTAGTTTTATGTAATATAAATTCATGAGATAAATAATAATGATAAAGTATGCATAATTAAGTATAAATATAAAAGATAAATAAATAAATTATTGTATATAGAAGATATAATAAATATTATATCTTAGATAACAAAAATAATTTACATCTTTTTATTATCATGAATATCTATGAAGAATTTTCACAATGTAAACATTTCGTTAAATGTTGATGTAAAATTTTAATATATCTTTACATTAATTATGTAAATTTTAATATTAATTAAAATTAAAATAATACATGATATATTTAAATACTCAAGTAATATATTATCAATAAATAAAATTTTTATATAAATAATTTTTATTTAAATATTTAGAATTTCACTTGTTAAAAAATATAAAACAAAGACAATTTGGTAAAATATACATTCTAGTAATCTTTTATTCCTTCAACCAAACACTGTAATCTTACATTCATGTCAAACCAACCAAACACAGTAATGTAACATTCACAGTAATCATATGCCCTGGTAATCTTTTATTCCCACTGGTAATCTTACATTCCGTGAACCAAACGCACAGACGCTGCATATTCCCTAAATTATTATTAGGGTAAAGAATATAAATGGTCATTGAACTTTTTAGATACTTCCATTTAGGTCCCTAAACTTTTAAAACTTACAATACAGTCACCAAACATTTAGTTCATTTGCAATATGGTCCCGACATAACTGCCATTAGGGTAAATTATATAAATGGTCACTAAACTTTTCAGGTGCTTGCATTTAGGTCCCCCAATTTTTAAAACTTGCAACACATTCATCAATTACATTTTAAACCCTAAATTCCAAAATGCTTCATTTACATGCTCAACCCCAAATTCATAATCCATTCTCAAAATCTACCATAACAAATTGAACTTGAAGCAACAACCCTAAACCCTCAAAATATAACCCTAAATCCTAAATTTCCCCACCAATTAACCTAACATAATCAACAACATTTAGTTCATTTTGGGTCTAACAAAAAGTGATTATGTTGGGTTTAGGATTTAAAAGTTAGATTTAACCAACTATAAGTTAACAATACTCAATTCGATTCAAAAAAATTATTTTTCGACTTGATTTGATTCAAAAAAATTGATACAAATTGACTTTGGGTTGTAATTTCATAAAATCAACTTAAAGAATTTTCAAGCTAAAATCGAGTTGTAAAATATAACTCGAATATCTAAAAAATTTTAGTAATTAGTGGATTAAATTTTAAGTTCGAATCAAGTCCCTTGACTTTGTATGGTATATGTGTATCACATATGGAAAAAATATGAAGAAATATATGTATTGTATATGGTTAAAAAACTATTTAAATTAGAATCAAATAATATTATAGTATTATAAATATTTATAATTAAATTTAAACAGAAACTCGAAAATTCAATTCAATTCGACTTGATTTAAATTTTATAAACTCAAATCGAAAATTTTTGAGTCAACTATTTTATAAACTGAACTGGATTATAATCAAATAATATTATAATATGATAAATATTTATAATTAAATTTAAACAGAAACTCAAAAATTCAATTCAATTCAATTCGACTTGATTTAAATTTTATAAACTAAAATCGATTTTTTTTGAGTCAACTATTTTATAAACTGAATTGAGTATTTAGGTCCAACATAACCCTAAACCCAACATAATCACTTATTTTTAACTTATAATTAGTTCAATTTTTTTTGAAATAATTATGTTTTAAGGGTTTAAGGTTGTTGCTTTAAGTTCAATTTGTTATGGAAGATTTTGAAAATGGATTATGGATTTGGGGTTGGGCATGTAAATGAAGTATTTTGGAATTTGAGGTTTAGAATGTAATTGAGGTATTTTGGATTTTGGAGTTTAGAATGAAATTGATGATTGCGTTGCAAGTTTTAAAAGTTGAGGGGACCTAAATGCAAGCGCCTGAAAAGTTTTAGTGACCATTTATATAATTTACCCTAACGGAAGTGAAACGACCGTTATGTCGGGGACCATATTGCAAACGAACTAAATGTTTGACGATTGTATTGCAAGTTTTAAAAGTTGGGGGACCTAAATGCAAGCATCTAAAAAATTCAGTGACCATTTATATACTTTACCCTTATTATTATTATTATTAAACTTTATCAAATTCAATCATTATTCTTATTTTTATTTTTAAACTAAATTAAAATTTTAAAAAGTATTTATTTATTTTTTAATAATTTTTTAATTGTACTATTATTTTCTTTATAAATCATTATAAATATAAAATAATATATATTCAAAAACTCTTAACCATGTATAAATAAATGCTCGTCCTCTATACACACAATACTCCGATATCAATTCTCAAAGAATAATAACCTCTTAACCACAAACTTACATAATTCATGCTCATATGAATCTTTACCCTTTGTAAAATGGTAACCACCGAGTTGTGCGAGTTGCTTATGTTTTGAGTACGAGTATCTCATCTAAGCATGGACCAAAGAAAAGTGAATTCCGCAATCGTTTCTTAAAAATTCAAAATTATCGTATAAAATTTAAAATCATTATATATTTTTTATTAAAAATATGTTTTAATTTCTTAAAAAAAATTTAAATTCAAAATCATCCCTAACATAAAATTTTAAAATAATAAAAATATGTATACGAACAGTATAAATCTCTAAATAAACACATCCTGATCTAATTTACCATCAATGTTTAAAGTTTATCAATTATATTAGACGAATACTCTAAACCAATACTCGCACAGCCCATCCCAATGGATATCACTTCCATACAGTGCCATAGAGATAAAGAGTAAGAAGAAGATGGTCAGTCCACTCAATGATATCCTGTCAGCACCAGCATCAATTTACAGATCCTCGTCCTACCAAAATAATAATCACCACATTAATTACTCAAGAAAACAATAGTAAAAATGGTAATTTTTTGCTCTTCTGGTCAACTCGATTTATCACTTTTATTACTATTGTATTTTTTTTATCAATTTAACTGTTAAAATTATTTAGTTGCATCATTTTATACTCGATCTTTAACTTAAAACTTCAAATTATAAACTCTAAACCATAATATCAATCTCTAAACCCTAAACCCTAAGAGCATGCAAATTTGGGTACTTGGGTTTTCAGGTACCCGATTACCGGGTACCCGTAACATCTAGGTCGGTGATTTATCGGCCTATGTCCCGACCTTGATATTGCACGTATCTGGTAATCGGGTATCCGGTACTCGATTTTTTTTTCTTTTCAAATTATTAATTTAAAAATATATATACACAAATTTAAATGTTCGAAATTTTGAATTACATACTCCAACATCATAACATAAAATTTAAAAGTTTGAAATATAAAATATAATAATCCATAATATAAATAATCAATTATATATATAACCAATTACTTGGGTACCCGTAAAACTTCAATTTTGTGACCCTGGCGGGTAATTTTTTTTATATATAGAAAATTACCCCTTTTTTTAGGTTTGGGTCGGGTAGTTTTGTATGCCCCTTTTAAACCCTTAACCTAAATTCTAATTTAGGATTTATAATTTATGATTTTAAGTTAGAGATAAGATATAAAATGATGCAATTAAGTACATTTAAAAATGATAGATTTTTGGGTTTAATTTTTTGAATTTTAAAGAATTTTAGGATTATCTAATAAAGTGATAGATGATGATAAAATGAGTTTATTATTGTCTAGAGTAACCGCAAAAGATAAGGAAGAAAGATGAGTTTTCAATGTTGATTGAAAAATATGGATTTTTTTTAAATTTTAATGAAAAATACGATGAGATAAAATATTTTTAAAATTTTCATGTCAGCCCTTGTTTGTTTTCATTTCATACGAATGTTAATGATTTAAAAGTCTAGTGCCTTAATTGAAAAGAAAATCGAATTATCATTTTATAATAGTTCGATCGAATTTGATGATGATTTTGTAATAATTCAATAAATTAACTGATTATTTATAATTTGTAAAAGTTCAATGACTAAAATATTCATTTAAATACAGTTTGGTGACATCTAGTGTATTTTACCAACAAATTTTAGAAAGCAATCGTTATTCATTATGGATAAGACGCCAACGAAAAACCAGAAGCAGAGAAAAAGCTTACTATATCAAACAACCGCTAACAATGGCCACTCTCTCAATCGGCACCGCCACCCCCGTCGCGACCTTCCGTTCGACAAAAGTAACACGAACCCGCTCCAATTTCAAAGTCTCCTGCGTCCAATGGGTACATAAAGACATAAGATTTTCGGTGTTTGGTTTGTTTTTGGTTACGTTTTGATGAAAATTTGAAGCTTTGGATTGACATCAGTTCTTATTATTCTCTTTTAATCCAAGGAAGGACCCGGAAGGTATTTTAGGAAGGCCGCAGACAGGGCACTTGGCTCGTCTGGAGTTCAGAAGGCGGCTTGAGAAAGACGCAGAGGCTCGAGAGGCATTTGAGCAACATTTACGCCAAGAGAAGGATCGTCGCCGAGCTCTTCGAGAAGTATAATAGTTGTACTAAATGTGTTTTTATCAAAATTTATTCAATTGGCCTTGTTTTGGGTGTTTTAATCTCCTTCTTCTTCTTCTTCTTCTGGTGGTTTCCTTATTAGTCCAGGGAAATACCCGATACTCCAGAGGAGATGATTGAGTACTTTCTTGACACTGAAGCTCAAGAGATCGAGTTTGAGATTGCAAGATTAAGGCATCGGTTAGTCCTTTAATTTTGTATGAAGAGACTCTTGAAAGTTGCATGTTAATGGTTTGCATTTTTGCTTCTTTGGGTATTGAATTGTGTTTTTAACACTTGAATTTCAATGTCTCTGGTGAATTCCGCTTTCTGGACTTTAAACTTTCACTTTAACTTAATGACACCAATCTTCTTTGCAAATTTTGTAGATTGGATGAGGAATTTTTCTCCCACCTCAAATTCGAGATCGGGCAGATTCGATTCGCTGTTTCGAAGACCGAGGTTTGTTTGAAAACGATCTTTTACTTGTGATATTCATTTGTTTGTCTAACATCAGAGAATTGGGAATCTAAAAGCTGATGAATTTTGCAGAATATGGAGGACAGATTGATTGAGCTGGAGGCATTACAAAAGGCCTTACAAGAAGGCACAGGTATATTTTTCTACCTATACAATATATGGTTAAAGAGTTTCTGCTTTGTTTTGTTTTGGTTTTCACTAATGATCCTCTGTCCTCTGACTGCAGAAGCATATGATAAAATGCAAGCCAACCTTATAACATCGAAGCAAAGCCTCACCAAGATTTTGACATCGAAAGATATGAACGCAACTGTATGTGCCTTCCTACCATTGAGTCCCTCCTGTATTTCTAATTTTGTGCAGGCCAACTGAGTTTCTGATTTTTGTTGCAGTTGCTTGAGATGCTTGAACGCAATGAACTAAATAGATCCGTATTGACACTTCTTGATGAAAACATAGCAAGTGCAAGCAGGGGTAACCAGGTTAGCATTGCCTCAACCTTCAAGATTCTGTATTTACTTGCATGCATGCATAGTCTGGTAAAACACACAAGGTTAGGTTACTTGAAGAGTGCTACTTTCCAAGTCGAAATGATTCCTCTAGTTTTCGGTTTGTCTTCCAATATTTTGGCTTTCATGTGTTACCTGGCCCATGATATTCAATCTCAATTGTCTATAAGATGATTTCGTTATCATTTTGGAACTTTATTGTTGTCGTAATTGGTGGCGTGTTTTACGATTATAATATTAGACATAGTGAATTAGAGATACTGGCCTACTGATAAAACTCTGTTAGGCCCAATAGCCAGTCCGACTCTGCTTAATCAAGACGAACAAAGAAACCCCTCCGCTCAGCACAGTCTGGCTCGATGCATGACCTCCAATGAACAAATAGGACGCACGGCCATAAGCTGATACAACAGGCCTCGTTAAGACCCCAGCCATCCTATTCGAAGACCCTACTCCCGACAGTCCAATCCTGGTACCAAGGACACCAAAAATATAAAGGTCTTCTCACCCTTCCCAAGATGACCAAGAGGAAAAAACCTGTATCCGCTCTCTATCACTCTCCTTCCCTCTCTTCTCCCTGATGCTGACCACAGAACCTATATCCGGTCAACCTAAGTTCTGACATCCACCTTAATCCGCAGCTCTTTGTCCAAGTAAGAAAGCGTGAACTGCAACCAACACCTTCCCCCAATGTTGTGACCTCAAGAGGTTCCATTTAGGGTAAATGTGTGCAAACAACATGCTTCCATGTTCATATTTTGAGCAATTGGAAACAAAATGATTTCATTTGGTTGTGTTAGAAACGTATTGCTTGCTATGGTTGCCCATTATTTTCTTTTATAACTATCAGTACTCGTTATTTGGTTGCCATGTAGCCAACTAACTTAGACCAGAGTTGTTCACAAACCTTTTTTTGTTGTTGTAGAAAATCATTTCCCATTCATATGAAATGTTAAATCCATTTGGCTCGTGAATATTCGACGTGTTTTCGTTCTATATCTTCTCTTAGCAACCGTGAAAATTTTAACCAGGCTTCTCCTAAAACATACCTACATGAAATTGATTACAGCAAATTGCTTCGGATTCGACTGAACTCCTCATAACTTATAATTTTTTCTTAATATGCAGAAAGAAGCAGTGGCTTTCATGGAAAAGGCTCGTTCGGCCATTCTCAAGTATTTGACGGTATAGTATACACTAAACACGTCTTTATGTTTTGGTCGATTCAAGGTATTTGTACTAAGATCAGGTCAGTAATTACATGTACAATTACAAAGACATGATTCAGAGAATCAGAGTTGCAGTTTATTATACAATGATTTAGTTTCTTTTTGGACTAGAGCAACAACAATTTACTATTGCACGAACCAAGCAACTTTAGTAGATCAAGGGGATGATTGTTATTCCTAGTCTCCTAAAAGTCTTGGGTTCGTACACCTTGTCTAGAAGTGTTTGAGCGTTCATTATCAAATGATTGAATCTTTTCAATAATATCCTACCATTTAAATGATTTTAAACCCTAATTCATAACTCATCAACTTTAACTTATAAATCTAAACCCTAACATATACAAATAAAAATATTAAAATTAAAAAGATAATACATATACATATTATAAGAACTGTTTCAATTAAATTAAAACTGGAAAAAAAATAAATTTTGCCCCTGTAGTAGATTTAATTTATCATTTTCACCCCTATCATATTTTCGCATCAAGTTAACTCTCAAAGTTGTTCAATTGCATCAATGTTTAAAATATTTGCTATTGTTTAGAGTTTTAAGTTAGTGTTTAGGATTCAGAGGTTATGATTTAGGGTTTTAAGTTAAAGTTAGGGTACAAAATGATGCAATTAAACAATTTTGAGAGCTAAATTGATGAGAAAATACTATAAGGGTAAAAATGATAGATTGAATATACTACAAGGACAAATGTGACCCTTAATCTATTAAAATTCAATCTAAAATAATAATAGACTTAAGGGTCACTTCCGCCCCTATAATAGACTTAATTTATCATTTTCTTCATTATTTTATATTTTCACATCAATTTAACCCTTGGAATTGCTCGATTGCATAATTATATACTATATCCCTAAATTATAAACCCTAAGTTGGGTGTAAGGTTTAAAATTTATGGTTTAGAGGTTATGGGATTATTTTTAGGGTAAGTAGAGTGTAAGGTTTAGAGTTTATGAGATTATGTTTTAAGGTTTAGGATTTATAATTTAGGGTGTTAAGTTAGGGATATAGTATATAATGATACAATCGAACAATTTTAAAAGTTAAATTGATGCGAAAATATAATAGGTACAAAAGTAATAAATTTAATCTACTACGGAAACAAAATTACCTACCATAATAATATAATACTCTACGTGTAATCCACACATTTCAATAAAACACAATCCAAAAGAAACTTACCAATCAATAAACATGTGTGGAGGCTGTCAAAGTTTAAGCATCGACACAGTTGTTTTTAGAATAATGTGAATATTCATGTGGTCTTTATATTATATAGCTATTAATAATTTTAAAATTCATATTTCTATTAATTTTTAAGCATAGAAACTCTGATAGGCTGAGAGGAGTCTACTGGGGAACCCTGCCCCACCTCCCTGGTCTGTGCGGGTATATAATTTCGAACATACGTGGCACCTTAGCGGCCGTTCGTTTCCAACCTCAATATCAACTCATTTTCGTCATGGGCAAACTACAATTTTCGCCCCTCAATTTTACATATATTTATGTTTTGATTATTAAACTTTAAAATTATCAATTTAAATACTGAAATTTTGAATGGTTCTATTTATTATCATTTACTGACATGGAAATCACCTATTGTTCACATTAATAGAAAGACAGATATCTTTTTCCGGCTATAGATCTTCTCCATTTATGGGTTTCTAGAAACATCTTAAAGTGGTACTCGAAATCACTATTGGTATGATCTCAAAGCGGATTATCAGGATACAATCTGAAACCTCTAACATTCCTTATTTCTCCTTAGCTTAAGAGACAATTCACGGGGTTTACCGTCCGTTTTCGGTCAATCTTGAAATTACAAAAGCAAACTCTTAAAGTTTCATTCTCGTGTAATGTTAGTATCAAAAACTTCTTTTTTAATTTCTTCTTTAATCACACAAGATATCCATAAATTCTTTGCAGTAATAATATTGTCAAATATTTAGTAATTAAGTGAAAAAATAAAGCAATTTAAAAATTTAGTAACTAAATTGAAAACGTTTAGTGTAGTGACAAAAATATAACTCTAATTAAAGTTGAGTGATAAAAGTTATAGTTTACCCCTTCATTATTATAGACACCGCAATCTTATAAGGGTAAACCACACGGGAGACAACTAAACTATGGTCAAAAATCAATGTGACCACTAAACGTTCAATTGAATCAATCAGACCATCAAACTATTTAATTGATTCAATCAAACCACCGGCCGTTAATTTTTAATAGAGGTGGTGACGTGTCCGTTAAGCTTAATTGGCATAATTATATATTTGGTCCTTAATATTTACATATTCTATCAATTTAGTGGCTATTTTAATTCAATTTAACTATCCAATTAGAGCGTGACACGTGTTAATATATGATTAGAAGTTTTTATTTATAAATTTTAAATTATTTAATTAAATAACTTTTCTATCCAATCAAGTGGTGACACGTGTCACCACCCAATGGAAGTGAAAATTAAAGGGATAAAGGCGCCCAAACCATTGGGTCAAAGGTCCCTAATGGTTTAAAGTTACAACAATTTGTATTTGTATTTTAAATGTTTGTTAAGGATAAAAAATTAAACAAATTATTTTTTTTCTCAATGAAAAAACGAGACATGTTATCATTTTCGTTAGCAATCGAAGTTAAATTAACAGCCGGTGGCTTGATTGACACTAAAATCAAACATTAGTGACCTAATTGGCAAAAGTTTTTGTTCAGTGGTCAGAATAGAATCGACCTTATAATTTAGTTACTATATAGGTACTATGCTCTGTGATAATTTTTCATCCTATATGAACTTTTGAAAACTATTGTTTTCTATGTATTGGACTCCATGTCCTGTGACAAATTTCTTGCTATTTTCTGTGTTTTTAAGATGGATATATTTTTCATTGTTTCACAGAATTGAAGCGCGAGGTGCCGTTGAAAGATTATCGCAATATCGGAATTATGGCTCACATAGATGCCGGAAAGACGACGACAACTGAACGTGTTCTATACTACACGGGAAGGAACTATAAGATCGGTGAGGTACACGAGGGTACAGCTACAATGGACTGGATGGAACAGGAGCAGGAAAGAGGTATTACCACAACATTGGCCCCGACTACGACGTTTTGGAAAAACCACCGGATTAATATTATCGATACCCCTGTCCATGTTGACTTTACGCTCGAGGTGGAGCGAGCTCTCAGGGTTTTAGATGGAGCCATATGCTTGTTCGATAGTGTTTCCGGTGTTGAACTACAATCTGAAACTGTCTGGAGGCAGGCTGATAAGTACGGGGTACCCAGAATTTGCTTTGTCAATAAGATGGATCGACTAGGAGCAAATTTTTCCGGACACGAGAAAAATAAGGGTGTTCAGCCGTTACTCGATGCCGTTATGGATTACTTGCCATCGCCTGTTGAATTGCCGCCAATGAAGGGGACTGATCCTGAGAACCCTGAAGTGACAATTGAAAGGAAAGCAAGCGATGATGAACCATTTTCAGGACTGGCTTTCAAAATCATGACCGATCCATTTGTAGGATCCCTTACCTTTGTCAGGGTGTATTCGGGAAAGCTTAGTGCAGGATCTTATGTTCTGAACGCGAACAAAGGAAGGAAAGAGAGAATAGGTAGATTGTTGGAAATGCACGCCAATAGTAGAGAGGATGTTAAGGTTGCTTTGGCCGGTGATATTGTTGCTCTTTCAGGTCTAAAGGATACCATTACGGGTGAAACACTTAGCGACCCTGACCATCCCGTTGTCCTTGAGCGGATGGACTTCCCCGGCCCTGTGATTAAGGTTGCTATTGAACCCAAGACTAAAGCTGATGTCGATAAAATGGCTAATGGTTTGATCAAGCTTGCCCAAGAAAACCCTTCTTTTCACTTCTCACGATACGAAGAGATCAACCAGACTGTAATCGAAGGAATGGGAGAATTGCATCTCGAGATTATCGTTGATCGTCTGAAGAGAGAATTCAAGGTTTGTAGCATCATCTAATTTTGGTCAACTGTGTCTGTGCATTTAATATCTTAACTGATGCATGAACGTTAAATACTTCTAATTCTCATTATTTTGATTGGTTGGTGTATGTAGGTAGAAGCTAATGTCGGCGCACCACAAGTTAATTACCGTGAAAGCATTTCCAAAGTTTCAGAAGTTAAATATGTGCACAAGAAACAGTCCGGTGGACAAGGACAGTTTGCTGATATCACTGTCCGTTTCGAGCCGACGGAGGCAGGTAGTGGGTACGAGTTCAAGAGTGAAATCAAAGGTGGAGCGGTGCCAAAAGAATATATTCCCGGAGTGATGAAAGGGCTGGAGGAGGGCATGTGTAACGGTGTCCTCGCAGGCTTTCCCGTTGTGGACGTACGTGCTGTGCTAGTAGACTGTTCTTACCACGATGTTGATTCAAGTGTCTTGGCATTTCAACTGGCTGCCAGGGGAGCCTTCCGAGAGGGGGTTAGAAAGGCTGGTCCTAGAATGCTCGAACCTATAATGAAAGTCGAGGTTGTTACACCCGAAGAACACTTAGGTATGTGATCGGGGGTCTCAACTCTAGGAGAGGCCAGATTAACAGCTTTGGTGATAAGCCTGGTGGACTCAAGGTAATATCAGATGACTTCACCCTTGTTTTGCTTTGAACCTCGAAAAAGTCGATCGAATACTTCCACAGCACCAGTCGAAATCTCAGATATTTTGTCAGACCATTCCTAGAAAGCATCCATTTCACTAATTTATTACTGATCAATATTTTTCCACTCGTAATCTTATCGTGTTGATGCATTCGGCACCGAATTTTCTGCAGGTGGTGGATGCCCTCGCCGAAATGTTCCAATACGTCAGCACTCTCCGAGGAATGACAAAAGGTCGTGCATCCTACACAATGCAATTGGACAAGTTTGATGTTGTCCCTCAACATATCCAGAACGAGCTTGCTTCAAAACAGCAAGAAGTTGCTGCTTGATTTTGTTATTCATATTTTCTTGGCATCCAAACACTATTTTTTGTTCATAATATGATGTCCAATATTACTCCTTTTTCCCCTTTAAATTCTAAATTTCATTTATCAGTTTTGGATATAAATATAACAAAACATCTAATGCTATATTTTATTGTCAAATGTCATTTTTTTTACCTAGAAAATTTACAATATTAATATTTTGAAGGACTAATTAGAACATAATTAACATTTATGTACCAATTTGAACACGGAATGACTGTTAGGGACGCTTATATGAAATTAACCCGTGAAGTCTTTCTTATACCCCGTTAGATAATTAAAAAAATCACCTAACCAAACACCCCTTAAATCCAGGTAGACTATTCGAAATGCCGAGCTGAAGAAGCTTCGAGAACCACCAGAAGTCTCTGGTTTGCTTTGCTTTCCATTTCTATATAAATTATATTAATTTCTATTTTTTTTCTGAATTACACTAAACCTCACAAATCACAGTCGTCTTCCCCAAAGCAAAACTCGAAGCTAACAGATTCCTCTTCCATGGCCGACGAAGCCAAAGCCAAAGGCAACGCCGCCTTTTCCTCAGGTGATTTCAACGCCGCGATCAAACACTTCACGGAAGCTATAGACCTTGCTCCGACCAACCACGTCCTTTACTCAAACCGATCTGCCGCTTACGCTTCTCTTCATCAATACGATGCAGCGTTATCCGACGCCAAAAAGACCGTCGAACTCAAACCCGACTGGTCCAAAGGTTACAGCAGGATCGGCGCGGCTCAACTCGGCTTGCATCAATATCAAGACGCGATTTCGGCGTATAAGAAAGGTATCGAGATTGATCCTAATAATGAAGCTCTGAAATCGGGATTGGCTGATGCTCAATCGGCTTCAGCGTCGGTTTCGACTTCACGATCTAGGGCGGCTCAGCCACCCAATCTGTTCGGCGATGCTTTTCAGGGGCCGGAGATGTGGGCGAAGTTGACTGCGGATCCGACGACTAGGCTTTATTTACAGCAGCCGGATTTTGTTAAGGCGATGCAGGATATTCAGAAAAACCCTACCAAATTGAATGAATATTTGAAGGATCAGAGGGTTATGCAAGCTTTGGGAGTTCTATTGAATGTTAAGTTTAAAGCGCATGGTGCTGGCGACGACATGGATACTCCAGAGGCTGATTCGCCTCCAGCTCCACAGCCTTCACAGCCCGCTAAGGAGGAGGTGAGGAAGCCTGAGCCTGAGACGGTACCTGAACCGATGGAAATTCCGGAAGAGGAGAAGGAGAAAAAAGAGAAGAAGGAGAAAGCTTTAAAGGAGAAGGAGGCTGGAAATGCTGCATATAGGAAGAAGGATTTCGAGACGGCTATTCAGCATTACACGACAGCAATGGAGCTTGATGATGAGGATATTTCGTACATCACCAATCGGGCTGCTGTTTATTTGGAAATGGGCAAGGTATGGTTGCCTATATTTGTTTGTTTAGAAGTGAGGAAATTTACTTCATTAAATGTAGGTGTTTATGATACTAATGAAGTTTAGAAACTGTTGGTTGATTTTATGTTTTATTTTTCCTTTCAGCTTTAAACATTGAAATTTAGGTGGCCTAGATTAATAATATCCATTCTACTTTCATCTAGAATAAAGTAGTTGAGTAGACATTCATTTGAAGAAAATTATTTTTTTCCCAATTTTTATATTGCCATTGCGACGAAATTTGCTCCGTGCTAAAAAATATTCTGCTTTTGGGTTGAAGTTCTTAATTGGTTATAACATACGTCTAACTTCACTTCCTTTGTTGAATACAGTATGAGGACTGCATTAAAGACTGTGACAAGGCTGTTGAAAGAGGTAGAGAGCTCCGAGCAGACTATAAAATGGTAGCAAGAGCTTTGACTAGGAAGGGGACTGCTTTGGTGAAGACGGTGAAATGCTCGAAAGATTATGAACCGGCGATAGAGACTTTCCAGAAAGCTCTTACAGAGCATCGGAATTCAGACACTTTGAAGAAACTAAATGATGCAGAAAAAGCAAAGAAGGATTTGGAACAACAAGAGTACTTTGATCCAAAGCTAGCAGATGAGGAGCGTGAGAAAGGTATTCTTCATCAGTTTTTGTATATTCCTTGCAGGCAACTTCATGGTTCTTTAGATTTGTTTCCTTGTAAAGTTATATTCTCGTCACTTGTATTTCCTCCTGTTCATTTGAGTTCCATCCAAGTATGCGTGGAATAATTGTGGAGTGGAAGCAATATGGTATTCCCACTCCCATATACTGTTCATTTACTCACTGCAGAAATATATTTTTAGGGAATGAATTTTTCAAGCAACAGAAGTATCCAGAGGCTGTGAAGCATTATACAGAGTCATTGAGAAGAAACCCCAAAGATCCAAAGGTAAGGTGTCAAATTCCTTTCTTGTGAGTTTGTGGTGACATTTGGCAAAGATACACGAAAAATAGGATTTTTTTTGTCGACTGAACTTCATTTTGCATGCCAGGCATATAGCAATAGAGCTGCATGCTACACAAAATTGGGAGCAATGCCTGAGGGACTGAAAGATGCTGAGAAGTGCATTGAGCTAGATCCAACCTTTTCTAAGGGCTACACCAGAAGAGGAGCTATTCAGTTCTTCATGAAGGAGTATGACAAAGCTTTAGAAACATACCAGGAAGGGTTGAAACATGATCCCAATAACCAGGAACTGCTCGATGGAGTTCGAAGGTAAGCAGTTCTCATTTGATTCCGTGTTCCTATATCAGCAGTACCCCAGTACCTTCTATAATCACTTGGTTCTCTCAATTATTTTGCAGATGTGTGGAACAGATTAACAAAGCTAGTCGAGGTGATTTCACCCCTGAAGAGTTGAAGGAAAGACAGGTGAGGATTGCAGAAATTCCTTTGCCCTTGTTTTTCATTTGGATTCAAACGAGCTGTATAGGATGCAAACGTGAATTTAAATTAATGTGATATTGTTGCAGGCTAAGGCAATGCAAGATCCTGAAATTCAAAACATTCTGTCGGATCCTGTCATGAGACAGGTAAGTTCTTATAACGCGAACATATCCGGATATTTTTGCTGTTTTGTTTACTGAGAGAGCAAAAAAATGTGGGATGGGGGCAGGTTTTGATTGATTTCCAGGAGAATCCAAAGGCAGCACAAGAACACACGAAGAATCCTATGGTGATGAACAAGATTCAAAAGCTGGTCACCGCTGGAATTGTCCAAATGAGATGAAAACGTAGATGGATTAACTTGAGTCCGTTTTGCCTTCACCATTGCAGTAAACTTGTTTGTGTGTGTTTTTCATTTCAGTAATTCTGTATCGCCTGAATTTGGGTTGGATTAATTCATAAGAAAAAGAACTAGTTTCATCAAATATTCATCGAGTTTGCATGGGATCGATTACATAACTGTTTGCCAACGTTACTCCAAATATCCACTCAAAGCAACTACCTAGGATTAACATGCATTCACGCTTAAATAGCACGCTGGCATTACCAGGGTTACAAACTTATATATATATATATATTTAATAATACGATAATTATAAAGATAGGTAGTATCTGTCTATTATTTATCTATAAATTGTATATATATATCTTAGTTGATCGACAACACTCTTTTTATTCTCAAAAACTTTATAAATGTATAATTAGAAATTAACTAATTAAACAGCCGGGTAATTATAATTATTCTATACAGATTACTCTCGTTACATTAAAGTTTTTTTTATATAATCATAGATTAATCTAGATTCCTTTTTTGATCAAAGCATCCGATTTCCAAATTCTCATAGGAGCCCCCTAGAATTCCTGTGAGACTTATTTTTATGGATTCCGTTATTTCAGTGATTTGGACTAAACAATCATTAAAATCTAACTACTATAAAATGGTCATAATAGATACTTAAACAATATAACCAATTTATTAATATTAAATATATTCAGAGGCCCTGTACAACGGGGGGTGTAGCTCATATGGTAGAGCGCTCGCTTCGCATGCGAGAGGCACGGGGTTCGATTCCCCGCACCTCCACTCTGTTTTTTGCTATATATATGCGATAATCTCTTAAATGCAAGGACTTGTTTTGTTTTAAGGTTTCGTTTCCCCCCTATAAAAACTGCTCAGCTTCCAAAAGCAGCACCGCCACCTACCACCGTGGATTACTACCGTCTGCTGCCATCGAGCTTTTCGGTGTTCGACATAAACGCCATAGATGAACTGGGGGTCAAGGCGGAGCAAGGCCAGTAGGAGAACCAAGACAAGAAGCACACGCATGTTCCGGCTATACTTCTGGAGAAGCTCAACGCCTTGGATGCTGTTCATATAACAACAACGATAACAAGAAGCCTCGAGCTCCACCTTCACCTCGCCTCCAAAACCAGCAAAACAAGAACCATCCTCGTAAGAGCTCAACTTTTCACACTATAGAAGAGCTAGACACAAAGTGGTCTTCGAAATAATCAAAACCAGCTGCAAACGAGTTAAGGAAAATCGAGTCAATGGGAAAAAGAGACGAAAACGATACCAACAGAGCCAAGGAACCCGGAGCCACGAGTTTCATTTCAGCCAGGAGCGTCCAAGTTAAAATTTAGGCCTTCATAGTAAAGGACAGTGAAGAGCGGGAGAAAGAATAAGATAATGAGCAAACGAGACCCATTAAGCGAGTTCCCGGAGATATGCCCGCCGAGCGGCAACGACACGATGGTGATTTACTCGACGTCGTTAAGGAGCGTCCGCCGCACGTTTGTAGAGAAGTTGGCTTGCGGCGGCTGCGACGGAGCAATGTTCGTGCCATGTGTGGAGTGCGGAGGAAACTCCAAAGTGACGACGAGTGGGGCTGATAAATGAGAAGGGTGTGGGAAATGTAAAATGGATTAATCGCTGTCCAACTTGTCTATAATGCTTTTCAATTGCATGGTTAGGCCCATTGAGTTGGGCTTAAGAGATTTTGAAGGCAAAAACGGCCCAATACACATGCGAGTTAATTATTTAGTAAAATACGGCATAAAATAATTTATTTAGGGATTTACGGTATTTGTTACAGTGACTTGGAACTCGTCATGTCGAGGTGATGAGTTTAAATAAAAATATTTTTTTATTCAAACTTTTTATCTTAAAATGACGAATTTCTTGAACATTATAACAAATGTCGTAGATCTCAAAATAAACTTCTATATGTCCTATTGGGCTAATTTTTTTCCCGATAACTATATTGGGCCAAAAATCGTTTTTGAATTATGATGTTCATTCAAGAGTGAATTATATATATTTTTGTAGATAAGATTTCTCGCAATCGGATCATTTTAGAATAACAATATTTATTTTATCACTAGAATCATTCTTGAGGACTGTACTAAAATAAATAAATTTATAATTAGAGGGAGAAACCATGTGTATACTTATTTTTTTGAGTAAATTATGCGTTTAATATCAAACTATCAACTTTAGTTCGTTTCAGTACCAAAACTTCCAATTTTTTTAAAAATCATACTTAAACTTTAGTTTTTGTTTCATTTTAGTACCTCAGTTAAAAATTTAACGTTAAGTTTGAAAAAAATGAAAGCTTATTTACTAAAATAGATCAAAACTAATAGTTTAGGTACTAAATGCGTTAAGTTCTTAATGGCAGAGTACTAAAATGAAACAAAAACTAAACATTAGGTATATACTGTTAAAAAATTGAAAGTTTAGGTACTAAAATGGATCAAAACTGATCGTTTAGGTACTTAACTTGTAGTATACCCCTTTTTTAAAGAATAAAAGAATGGCTTTTGCTATGATTATATTATTGGTGAAGTAACTTGTAATACCCCAAAATTTTGGTTAGTGAACAAAATGTAAATTTTGAAAGTTTAGTGGCCAAAGTATAAAATTGGGAAAAATTTAGGGACTTAAGTGGTAATTTTCCCAAAAAGAATTTTTATTCCATAAATGGATAGTTTATTCTTGAGAGTGAGGTTTTATTGGAATCAGATTCTTGATCTGGAATTGGTGTTAAAACCTAGAAAGTGTTTGAGTCCAGTAAAAATTCGGTAAATCAGATCGAATAGAAATTTTGAGAAAATTGAAGGATGATAAATTAAGCTTGTAAATATTATTTTCACATTTTTAAATGATGAACAATAATATGGAGTATTGGATTTGAGAAATAATTTCCATGTTCAATTTGGACCGTTGGATGAAAAATTGCAATATTGAAATTTTGGAAAAGTTGCATGGGCAAAGTTGTAAAGGGGAAATTAATTTGTTTATATTTGACTTTATAAAGATGACAAGGGTTATGTGGCTTCATTTGGATGTAATTATCAAGTTTTATTAATGGTAAAATTGTCATTTCTTAAATACATGATAAATTAACATGTAATTAACTAAAATTTCATGAAAATTTTGTCATCTTTCTCCTCTATTTCCTGGCCTTCATACCCTAAGTAAGAGAATTTTTATTTTTCATTTTTAAGCCAATTTATTAGGTTTTTGGATTAAGACGTTAAATAGAAAATTGTTCTATTCGATGAGCTATATCATTGGTTATCATTATTGCATGTTAATCTTGCTTGAGTTCAAAGATCCCAAATTCTAGGGTTTATGTTCATATTAGGAATTGATTATTGATTTTGAGGTTGTAGAATCATTTTCAAGCTTGTTTGATGATTAAATCATGATCAAACCTCCTAGGAATGCATTTGGTAGTTTTGGCCTAACCCTAAAAATTAGAGGAAGTTGTGATTTGATGAAATTTGATTAGGGCTTTGATTTTAGAGATTTTATAAGGTTGAATAGAGGTTGATTTCATGCTCGAATCGAATCAAAACCAAGTGAAATCATGGAACCCTAGACTTGTACTATTCGGCTTTGGCTTTTAAGGATGAGGAAAATTATGGAAAAATTATGTAAGGATTGGAAATTATGTAGGAAGTATTCTACAAGCCTTAAATAATTTTGGGGATCATTTTCTAATTTTATGGAAGTTGGGGGACCTATTTGAAAATTATGAGATCTATGTGTAATGGTTCAATATTTCATGTATTTTGCAGGAAATTAATGTTAGAGTGTTGAAATTGATGTTAAAATGTGAAATTGGATCATTTTGGAAACTTGGTAAGTTTGGTGAGTAGTTTAGGAAGTTTGGAGGGTTTAAAGGTAGTTATGCAATTGTAAATGTACTAGATTGATTATGTGTAATGGAATTTTCAGTATTGAATTTAAATTGAGCAAAGAGTAAAAGACCATTTCGAATGAAACGAAAAAGTTAAGAAGAATTCATAATTTGTGGTTAAAAATGCAAAGTTGAGAATGTTATGTGAAGTTTGATGAATTTAGATAAAAAAGGGACTTGAATGGCCAATTTGAAGTGTTATGGTCAACAATTATGTTGTGACATGGAATTAGTATCGAATGAGCATCGAAAGAATTTTTAGGAAATTATTTTCTATTATGTGCCTATGTCAGTAAGATTCTAACATGTGGTTTAAATTTGTATATGTTTGTAATGATGCTCATTTAAATTGTGTGCTTGAAATCAAGATCAAGCAATATTAAAGATAAGGAAAAGCTTGAGGATGGAATGTGAATTTCTAAGGAAGGTTTACAAGCTAACGACACTATGCGAATGCAAATTTAATTTGTACTTATGTTATCGAACAAAAATTGGCTTGCGATTAACCAGTGACAGAGTTACTATGGTAATAAGTGACCCCTAATTGTTATGTGTTTTGTGGTTCATGAATATTTGTTCATTTGGTGAGCTAATAGAATTAGTGAATCTGCCCAGATTTGTGATCGGAATAGTAAGTTTAGAAAACCATAAAAAATTATACATAAATAATTAGAGGATGAATCTTACACCGTTGGATAAGTATATCAGTCTAGTTTTGTTTAAAACAAACGGATACTAACTTCGAGGAGTATACAAAAGGATATGATTTTTTAATTAAGGATAGGTCAAAATATAGGGTAGCAGATTCTACTCAAAACAACTTCTGTAAGTCAGCTTTGAAAATTCATTATAAATTGTAAAAATCGAACTAGAGGAAGTGCCTTATATAATTAGATTCATATTCGAGTCTAGTTTTCATTGGTATAAAAACAATTTTAAGTGTGCATATTAATACATAATAATATTTCTTTAAAAGTAGTGCAAACTGCCAGAGTAGTAATTTGCGATAAATTTTGTAATCGAAGTAATTGAAAGCGAAATAATACACCTAAAGCTTAGTGAGACTTATATTTTGGACCTATAAATAAAGTGTCAAAGTGAGTGCATTATTTATTTAAGTTATATCTAACTGAGGAAGACTTGTGATATGTCAACCTATGATGATTTAAAAGAAAAGTTTGAATTAAATTATGGTATATTTTCATACTGGTTAACAA